AGTTGCGCTATAACAAACTATAATTCACGTATCATGAGCTAGACTTCAACAATACGTCTCTCTCTGACTGCAGTTCAATTACTCATTACCTACACACATTATTCCGTCACGTTGTGAGCGTCTTATTTATATACCAGACAAACATATATCTAGTAAATGCTAGGGCATTCACGAAGGAACAAGATACTTCTAGAAAATAGGTGGCGTGACAATAGTCACGTGACCTCGCTGACGCAACAGTATGCATTATATAACTTCAAAAACGATCAATGAAATCTATACAACTCAATATAAACAGGGATCTTCTGTGATCGAAAATAAATTATGCAGTTTTCCTACTTCAACCGACTCAAACAGTAATCAAAAAATAAAGTTTCATTATTAAAATACCGTTAACTGAGAAGTTCGGTCCATTTCATTTAGGATTTGTATATATATATATATATATATTATTATTATTTTTATTTTTTTATTTAACACCCGACTCTCCATTTCTCTCTCTCTTCTCTCTCTCTCTCTCTCTCTCTCTCTCTCACATACACAGGTTATTAACTTCCAAGTAATATTGTAATCTTTCAACGAGGTTCTGTAGTAACCCTCTCTCACAGTCTATCCTGGGTCACTTTAAGATAAAAAACTGACTTTTCATACAAATTTTAGGCTTGGAGTTAATATTCACGAAAACATATCCTCAATTCGTAAAACACGGGTTCTGCAAGTCATGAGCAAGTTGTAATCTTCGATTGGGCGATCCTGAAGATTTCATTGGACTGTATAAACCGGAATCTGCTTTTGGTGATTTTCTTGTATTTGTTACTAATTCTGTACTTACTATATTAAACATTTCACTAAATAGATTGAGGGAACTGTGATAAACGAATCACAATGTCCGGGATAAAATAAAAGTGTCTTGACATTTTAAAAGAAGAACCAAAAAGCAGTAAGTTGCCCAAACATAGCTTGTTCGGATTCCATATCATTCAAGTTTACCAATAAGTACGTCTTAATAATAACCAGAACACATCCTTTTCCTGTTTTTCTGAGCGGTTTTTTGCACGTTATCAATACTACTGACCACTTTAAATGTTAATATAGCACTTTGCAAGTTGTAAACCACTGTAGAACTATGAATTCTTAATCAACTTAATGCAAAAAAATTGTAAATAACATACACTCACCACATCCGAGTTCGTCGCTCCCATTATCACAATCGTTGTCTGAATCACAGCGCCACCTGGAAGGGATACAGCTGCAATTTGTATGAGAGTTAGGAGTACAAGCGAACTGATTAGCTTCACAGTTGCACACGGGATCCGCTGTTAATCCTGAAAATCCAAATAACAAACGATCATTTTAGCTGATTATCTAATCATGGTTGCAAAGACTACAAATTAATGTACGTATAAAACAGAATCGTTCGAGACGTAATGAAGAAGGTAGAAATTTTAGTTGATTATGAGTATCTCTCAAACGAATATCCTGCTTTAATGTGTACCGATACCGAGATAACACACTCTACAACAATTACCAAAATATAACACGGAACAAGATATAAACTTGCGAAAAATGTGCTCATTCTCTGAAACGGTAAGTTGAAACGTTTCCAGCTAATTTCCCACATACATATTCAGCCCAAACCCCGAATTCCTTTAAAGTGAATCGTGGGTTTGTATGACAGAAACATGTATGTACACTCAAACCCAAAATCTGAAATATATGAAAGTGAATCGTGGGTTTGTATGACAGAAACATGTATGTACACTCAAACCCAAAATCTGAAATATATGAAAGTGAATCGTGGGTTTGTATGACAGAAACATGTATGTACACTCAAATCCAAAATCTGAAATATATGAAAGTGAATCGTGGGTTTGTATGACAGAAACATGTATGTACACTCAAA